GTTGCGCATGTCAATAATATATAACTTGACATATGTTATATATAGATCCCACCTCTTGCGCTTTTTTTGCTATAAATGAGCAAATTTTCACAGCTGAGATTGTCATATATAAGTTATGTAAACCAGTTTATGACAAGCTGAGTTGCTTGGGATAGGATTTCCAGTGAACATTAGATGTATTAGTGTTCATTGCAAGACAGCGTATATCACGTGATATACGCTGTAATGTGGACGGGGTATAACGGAACTATCATTTCTATACTTTCATCTCCTTTATCTATCGTATAACAATTACCACTTTAGTCTGTTATTTGAAATTAGCATCTTCAACTATGTAAATCGTTAACTTCACGCAGAAGTAATGCAAACAAAAGGCTAAAAATGAGTTGACGTAGGACAACGTCTTTAATTTCTTTACTGGGGGTCACATTAAAAAATTCAAAATTCAGAAATATAACGAAAACTCCCAAACACAGACGCAACGATAGAGTGCAAATCTAACAAACGACGCATTGCGCATGCTCACAAGAGCGAGCTCAATGCTCGGTTGATCGCTCACCATTTCACCAATGAAAGGAAGGGAGGAGAAAAGCAGCGATAATAAAAACGCTTGCCAAATCGTTTGCTTCGTCATTTGCTTTCGAGCACAGCGTATGAGTGGAACAGCACACATCGCACCAATACGAAGACGACGCAGTGTTGCCACATTATTTCCATTTTCATTTTCACCGTAAAAATCTTTTTAATCTGTTTCTGGCTGATAAAAATCTGTAAAATAATCTCTACAAATTTTATAACATGATCTTATTGCGGATCGTCGTAAATATACTTTGATTCATTTGAAGTTCAGAAACAGTTTGTTCATAGTTTTGAATCTTGAAGATCGACTTAAGTTTGCTTTCTAAAGAATTGATCTATTTAAAAGATCTCGAAATCCTGAATCTTGACTTTTTGAGTGATTTGTATCTTTTTAAAAAGTCTAAAAATACAAAAACATCAAGTTCCAGTAGTGAGAGACAAATCTGAAATAAAATTTAATAAAGAAACAATCACATTTTCGTAAAACTAGATTTTTTTATATCCGTGATTATGAAAATCTGTGTCAGGTAAGTGGTTTGTTTTTACTCAACAATTTAATAAAATGAAAAATAAGCATGAACATTTTGTGAAGTATTAGTTGTAAAATGTTATGCTCGATGTTTCATTTTCTCACATTCTTCAAATCATTACAAATTTCAACTTTATTCGGCAGATTAAAAGGATATTTAATTTGCTAGCTGTTGCTCGAACCTATATACCTAAGTGTGCTCAGTACTTTTTTGTGAAAAACTTTGGGATGGTTTCATCTGTATTTCTCTATTTGCAATCGTGTTCATATGTTTTATCAACTTTATTGTATTTTGTCACAACACATAACTTTTATTTGAATGTTTGGTAGAATTGCATAGAATATTCTTTATTTCTGATATTACGTAGGTCAAAAGTAAAAATATCCAGTTGACTGTTCGACTCACAAACTGTAATCAATCAGTTTGAGGGTTTTTAAAACGGCTTGTTTACCGATTCGAGAAATAAAAAGAAATCATAGTATTTTTTTATTACTTTATTAAAGTGATTTTCAGCCTTCGGCTGAGAGAAAAAATCAAAGTACCTGTCACCATGTGATATGGTTTATTAAACAATAAGAATGAAAAACTAACAGTCCTCCTAACGAGCAATCAGAAATCAGAACATCTTAGCCTCAGGAGTCCGTTCAAAATTAACGAAGATAATAAAATAAAAATTGGTATTTGGTTAGGTGCTCGTACCTACTCAAAAGGAAGAAAGGATTATTACGGATTATGGATATTAATAAATATAATCCAGGGTTAAACATATATTCCACTTATTTGAGAAATCTGCTAATTTTTATATTAAAAAACTGTAATCTGTATAAACAGATATCTGTATCAAAATGTTGAGAAAAATCTGTATCATTACAGATAAATCTGTGTATGTGACATCACTGAGACGACGACGAAAGCACCCATATCGACCGGAAGAAAGGCTTCCCGCAATAGACAGCATTACTAGGCCGTCGTCATTCGGTCAGCATCGTCTTGCATTGGAGTGGCCACCATTTGAAAACAACCGGCCCTTTTCAGGGCCACTCTAATGGTGGTAAGCTCCAACCGGTATTATCCTCGGATTAAATTCCGATCAAGAATGGCTGGCTGGTTTGATGTCAACATCAGAGTTTATCCACATAACTCTGAGCAAACATTTTTCAGATCATACAAACAGGGACGGTATTAAAAGTTAATCCGAGTTGGAGCTTACCGCCATAAGAGATGAACTACACACTTAAAAATAACTAATTTTACACGTGATGGAATCCATCTTTGACATAAAGGATGAGATGTAAACAAACATGTCATGTAAAATTAAGTTCTCCGAGGCTGAAAACTTCGTTACTCGACGAAAAGTACGTTTGATTGAGCTGAACTTTGCGTCTATTATTACTCAATTTTATCTTAAAATTGACGCTTGTATATGTCAGCATCAGAGCACCTAAATTTACATGGATTTTTCTTAGTGTGTAGCCTTCGGCAAAAAATCTCTAAAATAAAGATTTAAAAAAAAATCAGAGCCACCAATTTAAAAACGGAAAGAGTTAAGAACTAAATGATCAACATATTTGTTCCGTTCACTAGCGGTCCTACGTCAAGCTTCCGTTCGTGCCTCTAGGCACAGACCCTTCTACTTTTTTTTCTAAATAATTGAGTCTAATGGCTGCAAAAATAAATGATTTTTTTTTATATTATTCATATGGTTCAACACTTTTGGAATGCGACATCACTCAGGTGCTACCTTTGAAGTTGGCTTGATCGAGTGGCGATTTTCTTTTCTTTAGATGATGAAGTTTTGAAGAAGACAACGGTCATAAAACACAGGGATAAAAAAGTTGGTCACTGTATTACACCTGGAAAACTAGTGTGAAACAGAAAATCAAGAGATCGGGCCATTCCATGAATTTCTGGAAAGAGCTGGCAAATAACATAAAACAATTTCAAAACGCCACCTACAACGCCACTACAATGGTTGAATCTGTGTACGAAGCGGGCGATGGAACAGTATCAGACGATAGCAGCAGCGATGACCTTTACCCAACCAAATTCGAGGAATTCCTTGATGAGGAAATAAACGCCATGCTGGGATTTTCATCGGACTCATCGTCAGGCCTATAGAGGGCGGCGTCATCAGGAGTGCCAACAACATCACGGTAAAGTCAGGCATCATAAACAATCAGGTAATTTATTACTAATTTTACCTTTATTTTACTTATACTTATACATTAAGTTACAGCTATCTATGAATCGACAAAAAATCCCATCCCTTGTCTCTTCCCTTATGGCATCTAATACATTAATGTTGAGATGGGGTCTTGCCGATGCGTTACCCTACCGGTGATGTTACTATGGCTTGCCCTGTTTCACGTTCGTGGACTACACAGAACTTATTCAACCTGCTGGTAAAGATGCTGTGATGGTATAGCATGTACGGTGCATAAAAGTATCGAAGACCTGGCCCTTGACCTCTGAATGACTACAACCTTATTTAACTGTCTGCTCAGCCTACGTCAGCATTAATGGTTTTTCATCGCCTAGTTTCGAGATACCCTCGGGCGTTCGTCAAGTTAGCCACTTTTAGGGCCTTTGATTTTCATCCTGTTTGTGAACAACCTCTGCACTCGACTATGTTGTTCCAAATTTTTGTTCGCCGATAACTTGAAGATATTCCGTGAAATTAAGTCCAGACTTGACTGCTGTCCTCTCCAGCAGGATATTGATTCCCTTTTGCGCTAATGTACGCTGAACGGCATGAGGTTAATGTCACTAAATGTTGTCCTATAGCTTTCAACTGTTTACCCGAGCCTTTGCAGTATGATTGTGTGATTGGACAAAGCAGCTTGCTCCGATCGCATGCGGTCAAAGATTTAGGTGTTTTCATTGACTCTGAAGTGCGATTCAATAAGCACGTCTCCATGATAACTCCAAAAGCATTTGTCACATTAGGATTTTTGAAAAGAAACGCTTTCCAAGATTACTATGCGCTAAAATCTTTATTGTGCCCTCGTCCGCAGTCTTCTTGAATATGCAGTTGTTGATTGGGCACCCTTTCATGCCTGGTACGCAGCTGAAAAGAAAACGGAAAAGTTATTTTTGAGGAATATTCCCAAAAGTAAATTTGACAGCTATAGGGAGGTGTCTTTTGCTAAATTTTGAGATCATAGGTAGGTGTCGTCTAATTTTAAAATCAACAATTATCAATTTTTATGTTGTTAAAATGCATCCAAAACATCATTTTTACAACAAACGTTAAAATTACCTAACGGAATAATTGGTCAGACCATTATTCCGCAAGGAAAATGAAATTGCATTCAGAATGCGCCACCTTCATATCGATCACGATACTAATGTAATCGATCTTTCCTTCACCGATTTCTTTAGAACAGCGTACTGGGTCAAGAAATGCTAATTAAAAGAAATTTCTTTAGCATTCCGTGTCCTATCCCGTAGCACGTAAAATCGTTATTACTTTTCAGCTGCGTACCATGCTATACAGGTGAACAGGATCGAAGCCATTCCATTTGAAGATTCAAATAAATATATAAATAAATTAAAAATGTAAATAAATAACTAATCAAGGTGAATCCTGATCCTCAACAAAATCTCCTCCTCAGTGACCTTTGTGGGGACACAGAGATAAACACGGTTGCCAAAACAACAAAGGTCATTTTAATATTCCTTACTTACTCCCACCTGATTACAAGGACACCGTTATTGATCTTTAAATATGGAATCACTGAAACTTGTAACAATTCATATAGAATGAATGGTCACTCCCAGCCCCCTGCAGTTGATTGATTGTGAAATTGCAACCATTGCTATGAACATTCAATCTAAGCTAAGTTAATAATATCGATTCTGATTACCCTTTTTTCTTACTCTTCACACTAGCATGCCTTCGTCATCTCAGCGACCCAGGAAATGCATATCTATCGTTGGAAAAATCCACCATGCTCCCAGACGCTATTAAAAATCCATTAATCTACCTAAACTTTGCACTGTACTGCTACGAGATTGGCAAACCGGATCAGTCAGTGTCATATTTGGCCAACTTTCTGGAAATGACTCAACACATCAGTGTCCACCGGGAGGTGAGTATCATCTCTTTTTCAATACACGTAAAATTAATGCAATAGAAAATAAACATCATGTTCACAGGAAGCTCATGGAATATTAGGGTGCCAATGAATGTATGGGAAAAAAGTGACCCTCCAATTTTCAAACCGACCATTTGAAAAATGTTCATTCATTGAAAAAAGACCCTGCGCAAAATGCGAGCTCAATCAAACGTGATTTTAGGTGGCGTAAAATCGTCAAAGTTCTTTTTTGTGTCAAATTACTTAAAAATGCATGAAACGTAGAGATCTGGTGTTATCACGAAAAAAAAAATACATTCTGGGACTTTCGTGAGTGGGAGGTGAGATATGGAACATTAATAAATTGGAACAAACTACTTGTAATCATTTTAAACCATCACTAGCCTCTAATACATGATGCTCCACTAGGGTGGTTAATTTATTACTCAATAGAATTCATTTTGTAATATTTCCCTGGGTTGGTTAATTTTTGTTTCATGCAGGGTAGCCCCAGCACTCGACGCGTCATGCGTTTTAAAGTAATTTGGTATAAACAAATTGGAAACCGCAATTCCAGGAACGCCCCCACCCTCATCCCTTCCTTGGGTTATTTGTTGGTTTTCAAAAACACAAACATTGAAGCTTTTGCGCCACTCCAAAGCATGTCCGATTGAGCCCAAATTTTGCACCGGTTTTTTTTTTTTTTCGATGCAATGAACATTTTGCACATGTGCCGTTTCGAAAATTCATGATGACAATTTTCATTGGCACACTAATATATATATATATACCTATATATATCCCAGACAACCAGAATGCACGTATATTCAAAGTTGTTTTCGGGATATAAAAACATATAAACAAACAAACAATTCGTATAGAATGCAAAGAAATGGCTTATACGTACAAAAGTGGAGGCCATATACGTGCATATTTTAATTTAATTTTAAACGAATTGATTTAACATCATTTACGATTTAATATGTAATAACAAATTAATTTTGAAAAGTCTTACGATGTAGTCTGATTTAATTTGTGATACAGTACGACGGTAAAATGAGTCATCGCATATAAGTCGGAGATATGCATTCTATACGATTTAACTTAAACATAATGCGAAGTATGCCATTCTTAAATGCGATTTTGAATTAAACTGTAGCAATTTACGATACTGTCTGTACATTTTTATACGACTTCTGGTTGCCTGGGATTTTCTCTGATTCTGATTTACCATCCTCCACATAAACTTTTGAAACGAACAGTACCTGAAGATGGCAGATCGACTGAATACTGCGTTGTCATCGTCAGTTGCCACCGAGAGGCTACCGCCGTTGTCCCCAGCGGTTGAAGCACAGCATCATCGTTCGACAGCGTCCATAACCGCGTCCACTTCAAACGTGGACACTGCTCCAACGGACACCAGTTCTGGAATACGTAATGAGGACATGAATTCCTCAAAAGATGCCACCGGGGGTAACAACAAGGACGAAGATGATGATTACGATGACGAGGAAGAAGAGCATGAGGACGGGAACGGTGGGAGCGAGGAACCATTAGACGATGAATCGGTGCAGAATAGAGGTGACGGCAGATAGAAAAGCGGTCATCCGGATTTGGAGCACAGAAAAATAGTGACAATTGTGTTGCTTTGAATGATACTCGTGTGTTCATCCGTAAAATGCATCTGCGATGCTTGGCTCATTAATAGGCAACGAATTGTTTTGATTTTATGATAGATCGCCTGTTGCGCATTTTCCCGTTGTTTTATAAAATAAAGCACCTAAGAGACGATGAGCTAAGACAGCCACCCTTTAGATTATTGAAACAAGCAACTCTTCAGAGTTGGTTGGAAATGCTAACATGAAGCTTTAGTGTGATGATTTATTAGCTAGAGAATGATCTTTAGAAGAGGGTAGGTGGATAGTTCCGTTAGAGTACGGCAGTATGAAAATTGAATAGAAGTTGAAAATGAGCGAAGGGTAATTAATGCGACAGTTTTTAAAGATAGACGCACATTTTTGCCTAACCCGTACGATGTACGCGGGGACTTGAAGTATGTCTCCAAGTCCACAGGCAAAAATGTGCGTCCCTCTTTTTGCTCATAAACTGACTGCGGCTGTGGAATAGTTCTAGCGACGTTTTTCATCACTACCTAAAGCCCCACGTTGCGAGAGCATTTCCAGTCGATGGTGTGTTATAATGCAGTTCTTCTTTACCCAACTATTGTGTTGCTCCTCTCGTCATGACCAACGTGATCATCTCAGAGAGAAAGCAGTAGGGTGGTTGTTGCGTGTTGTACCATCATCAGCATTGTTGACGGCTACTCCCGCCTTGAGTTGTTACATTCAATAATTTGGTAAAGAAGAACTGCATTATAACACACCATCGACTGGAAATGCTCTCGCAACGTGGGGCTTTAGGTAGTGATGAAAAATATAAAAACACTTTGAAAGCAACTCTTGAAAAACATGTATGATACAGAGTTCTTTGCTATAGTATAGTTTGTGCTGTAAAACATATTCTAGCATTATAAGGCCGGAACAAATCACAAGCTTATTTTTTGTCATTCGATGCTCGCACCAGTCGAGGAGGGGGGGGGGGATAAATAAAAACAAAAAAAAAACATTCAAAATTCGTTTTACATTACAGCTTAGCCTTCGCTTTAGCCTTATTGGGTAGATAGGGGCAATATGGACCCCCTAAGAAAAACACATCATAACACATGAAAAACTTTCATAAATGTATGATAGCTGTGATCATGCTCATGCTTTGGAATATGTTTGATAATATACAATGTTCAAAATATGGATAAAATATGATAGACTCAATAAATTATTATGTTTGAAAAATTTCAGTTTTTCCTCCGATCCACAACCATACGGGGCAATATGAGCACCCTAATAAAAGTTAACGTTTTGATAGGTTTTCACTAGAAAATAACATTCAGGAATCATGTGAAATAGACACATAAGTTCTTTTAGCAACAGTTACGTGTATTACTCACTGTAGTACCAGCGGATCAGTAAAATGTAATACACTGGAACCTCCATTTACGAACAAAAACGGGGGATCGTAAATCGAATTAGTGCGTAAAAAAACCTCGTTATTTGGGATTTACTTCGTAAAAAGAAAACTCGTTATTTAGGATTTACTTCGTAAAAAGAGGTTTTTGAAAATATTGTCAAATACCCCACAATATGGGTATTTTTGGAATCAGGGTGACGTGTAGGGACCGAAAATCGATGTCTGACGCCATTTTGAAATCCAAGATGGCGTCTTCCGGTTACAGAAAAACTTGGGAATTCTGCCAAATATCCCACAATATGGGTATTTTTGGAATCGAAGTGACGTGTAGGGACCGGAAATCGATGTCTGACACCATTTTGAAATCCAAGATGGCGACTTTCGGTTACAGGAAAACATCGAAATTCGGTCAAATACCCCACAATATGGGTATTTTTGGGATAGGGGTGACCTGTGAGAACCGGGAATTCATGTCTGACACCATTTCGAAATCCAAGATGGTGACATCCGGTTACAGAAACACTGGAAAATACTGTCAAATACCCCACAATATGGGTTTTTTTGGAATCAGGGTGACTTATTAGGACCAAAAATCAATGTCTGACGCTATTTTGGCGACTTCCGGTTACATAAAAACATAAAAATAATGTTAAATAACCTACAATATGGGTATCTTAAGAATCAGGGTGACGTGGTGGTATTTGCCAATTTTTCTGTAACCGGAAGCCGCCATCTTGGATTTCAAAATGGCATCAGACATAAACTTCCCGTTTTTACACGTCACTCCAATTCCAAAAATATCCATATTGTGGGGTACATGACACTGATTTCCGGTCCCTACACGTCACTCCGATTCCAAAAATGCCCATATTGTGGGGTATTTAACAGAATTCCCATGTTTTCCTGTAACCGGAAGCCGCCATCTTGGATTTCAAAATGGCGTCACACATCGATTTCCGATCCCTACACGTCACTCCGATTCCAACAAGACCCATATTGTGGGGTATTTCACAGTATATCCCAGTTTCCCAGTTTCGTTATTTGGAATTTACTTTGTAAAAAAACCTCTTTATTTGGGATTTACTTCGTAAAAAGAGGGACGTAAATTGAATACATGCTGCGTAAAAAAAAAGACTTCGTAAACGGAGGTTTAAGTGTATAGTGGCCCCTTAACGTGGGTAGATCACCTTTTCGTGGTACGTTACGGGATGTAAGATCTACCACCGATTCCTAGTCCTGACTACTTCAAACTAGGGGAACAGGATTTTTCAGTAATCCAAGGAACACATCTTAGTCCTTGTTACTTTTTATGCCTTGTATGATAGTGACAAGACTCGACTTTGTCTACCGAGGATGATCTTGACACAAGGAAAAAAATGATCTAGTTGTCTTCATCTATGTGATTCCTAATCTTCTATTCGTTGTTCCCTAGTTTGAAGTGGTTAAGACTAGGGTTCTGATGCATGGTCATTATCGGTGTCATTCCTTAATTTTGTTGCTAAGGAATCCAATTTTGACTGACAAAGGGGCGCGCCTTTGGAGGGTGTTTCAACACTCCGAAGGGTATAAATAGCGGGACCTTTCAATTAGACTCAGATCCTTGCGATAAATGCAAGAGTAGCAACTGTAAAAAAATCGAATACTTCATCATTTCTCAATAGCGATGGAGTAATACGACATGCACTAAACAAAGGACACGGGATATACTACAATAGATCAATTTACTGGTCGCAATAGTGTTAGGTCCCGAACAGAGGAAAAAAAAAGTGTATAGTGAATGCAATGCTTTTTTTCATTTTTTTTTTTTTATTATTATTATAGTCACTTTAACACTCTTGGGTCATTCGTAGCTTGTCCGGGGGTGATATTTGAACTCGTGACATTGGCGTGAGAGGTATGGATGTTAACCACTACGCTGGGGTCGCCCCACTGAATGCAATGCTTGTTTTCTTGCATGTCTTATAATATTCTTGAGATTTTGAGCTAATGTTACATTTCCATTATAATCTCAGGCATGTATTTGAATTTTGATACGGTTTTCACGAAGATTCATATAAGAATCATTTTCAACAAGTTTGTAAAAAAATTAGATTGAGATAATAAGTATTATGCCCAAACAAACGGTGGCCCATCTCGCCCCGTATGGTCTTCATGCCCTCATCCCCCCTACTTCGTTGAAGCCGTGATTTTTTATACTAATGCATAACAGGAGCCACAAATGTTGACTTCAGGAAGGAATAAAATTGGTAATAAAGTGGATGAATAGGATCAAAGCAACTGAGTTTTGGGGTTTGATAAATTCCGGGTAAACCATGAAGCGGAATACCACAAATGTAATAGTTTTTTTTTTATAAAAAAAAACGTTCTGTTTTCGATAGTTCCTCCTTATCAAATATAACATGAAGAGAACAGGAAACCCAAAATGATAAGAAAACACATACTCTGTGTATTTAAGCCTATGCCTCAGGGTATGCCTCAAAAATGAATATGAATGCAGTAAATAACGACAGTTCGTTTTTATCAGTCTTTTTTCGAAAACATTTGTAGATCTTTCATCACTTTGAATTCGCGTTATGGAATCCCCCGGGGATTCACAAGAAAATCCGGAACATCCGTAAAACCAGTAATTCAAAAAATATGATCTAATATATAGATTTCTAAGAAGCTTCTGTTTCCGGCATTATAAGTTAGACGATCAAGGCATTCCAGGCTGTCCAGTCAGCATTCAACACCTTCCTAGTGTCAAGAAGGCGCCAGCCTAACTGGTCGATAATTTAGTCAATATATGGACCATTTACCTCATACTCTATAGAGTCACTTGTTTTTGAAAAGCTGCTTTGATGTTTCCCTTCAATACTGTTAATGTTTGTCGATAACATTTTCAGCTCGTCTATCATATCTAATCTAATATCTGTTTTTTATCGAGTAAAACTTCAAGTGGATCGATCGCTTCGTAGACAACGCTAACATTATTTATTTTAGAACGATGAGTCACGTCTGAGTTTTTATTAATTTGATTTGTCAGCTGCGCCTGTCTCTCTGCAAGCGTGTTAAAGTCCAAGCTGGCCGTGATCAAATTTTGGCAGCATAGAAGATAAAATGTCAATGGGTTTATCTTTTATACGGAGTGAGTTGCGCTGGACAGGATCTCCAATACAGGCAGCATGCAATTTACGTGGACATCCAGCACATGTCAACATCATGAAGTCAACGGAAGAATCCAACGCGTAAATTGCACAGTTCATAAAAATAAATAAATACGTAAACAAAAGGCACGTGGCTAGGAGCTAATGAGAAAGGCGTGCGCACTTATTGACAACTGATTACAAAAGGATTTGGAGGCATAACTTCAGCTTTGTATGTGTATGTGTGTGTGATCAATCTAACCCTCACTGGTCGGCAGTGGTATTATGGAAGAAATTTGCTTACAACAATATTGATTTATTAAGTTAAAGCAAGTTTAGTCCGGGAGTTAGAAAGTGATAGCTCTACTGCAGATTCAGCAACCCATTTCAGAATGTCTGGTAATTCACGTCCATTACGAGGTTACTTTCACATACAATATGCCCCGCGTGTAAACACTACCGTTATCATATGAATAATGGTACACAGCTAAAAAAAAGTAGTGTAAATTTCCGTTACTATGATGCACATAAATGGAGCGTCATAAATCATACAAATTTACATTATAAATCGTGTAAATTTATGAGACATGTCATGCAATATTCCATATATTGTATGCAACTTTCCACCTTTGTTTGCAACATTTCTTGCAAGCTGCTAGTTTACGTGAAAAGGAAGTTTACATGCATGAATGTTTGCATGCATGGATGTTTACATCACCAGTAAAATTCAGATGTTTTTAGTGTGTAGGTACTGCAAACACACTTCCAGATTTCGAAATGTGATGTTTAGTGATATTTGGAAATATGCATTTATGATTGATTTATAATCAGATAGATCTCACCAAATTCTGCCTCCGAAAATACACCGGTTTGTTCACTCGCGATAATCGTTGTTTTTACAACCGAACACAACATTTTGAATCACATGCGAAGTTTTTCATTTGCACTGAATTTTTGCCTAACACCTCATTCGCGAACATCCTACGGAAGGCAGAATGCCAGCACCCAGAAAAGAAAAAAAAACGGTAAGACTCTTATTGGCCGGGAGGCAAAGTGCCAAAAACAAGCGAACAGAAAAACCGACCAACGCGACACCACAGCAACACAGCTACTCGAAACAAATTATTGTCCAAGAATTTTCACGTTAATTACAATATTAATAAAAGCTTATTAAACTAATAATTTTTGACTTGGTACAATTAAAAAATATGCGGAAAACAGATTAAATCAGCGCCAGCGAAAACAAATCCAACCGTTCGCGGGCAGAGCCTACTGCGTTTTGAGGGCATAAATTCAGCTTTCTTCACAAAAAATGTATAAAAGTCCAAGGGCGAATCTTTTTTAAAAAAAAATACGTTTTAACTTCTAAAGATGATTTAACAGTAATTTTTATGTCAGTGGATATATTTTTGGGTACTGCGGAGTCGATGTATTTTATTTTGCAAGCAACATGTTTCCAAGTAGAAAACTGTTTTGCTCTTTCTCAGTTGATTGCCGGCAATAGCTCTGAGCCAGGAGTGCTGGAGCTCCCATACCTCTATCAATGCTTTTTACATGCACATTTTACCAAAATATGTTTTACTACAATTAAAAACTCAACTAAGTCATAAATACTAAGCTGCTTTCATTACTGAGCCTGTTGATTTTTGCTTTGAACTTAAAATTAAGAATGTGTTATGATAACTTGCATTTCTTGCTTCTGAAGTTTTGCCTCCCACTTGACAGTTCACTCTGGCTCCAAAATAACAAGCACATTGAGTTAGTCCGCAATACCCAGAGATAGACCATAATATTACCTACGACTTCTTCTCAGGCTTTCCTTCGGAAGGGAAGTAAAGCCGTTGGTCCCGGCCCATGTGTGTTGAATGGGTGCGATATCCTACGCAGGTGTGGAAGCTGCCTTTCTGCACATTCGATTGCCGTCAATGGATGGCAATCGATGACCGTCGGTGATTGGCACTAGATTGCGGAACAGAGACCGACGTTAAATAAAGGAAAAAAAAGACTTCTTCTCAGACGTCATTTTTATCAAATATACCGTTTTCAAGTAATGATGTTTTGAAAAAATTAAACCCACTTTTTACATAATGTTTATAAAAACAAATTAACCATTATTTAATGAAACATGTCATCTTGGATAAGCCAAGTTTCATTCAAATCTAAAATGTTTGGAACAAAAGTGACATTATGTGTACCATTTTAAACTGGAAATGCTCTACAACAGGAATTTGAAACATAGAAATAAATAAAATAATTAATAAATGAATAAATATATAAATAAATCAATAAATAAAAAATAATCTATACTATCAAATCTATATTTAATTAGATCAGACACACGGCTTCGGCCCCTGGACCGTATTTCTTGCATAGGTTAAACAATAACTTATAAAGCTCATTTTCTGCAACACGTTGCATTACATATCAAAGTATTGTTTGGATAGGTTCGTTATTAATTATTTTGAGAAAATCCTAGTGCCTGGTAAAGGGCCTCAAGGGGTCGAAGCTATTCGTATCCCTAATTTGAGATTATAGTTTTAAGTTAACAAGAACTGTTATACTGATACGCAGATATTAACAAGCCTGTTTATAATACTAAGGCAACTTAAATGTAAACACATTAAGATATATCACACCAATTAAGGTTGGAATGATATTGAAACAAGCAAACAAAAAAGGATGATTCTGCTACGGTGATTTCAAAATTTAATTTAATTACTATTAGTTTTAGAATTTTGTGGTGGTGGAGTACTCCCTGCCCCCCCCCCCCCCCTAAACTGTCTCAGGATCGGCATTCGCATTATAATATCACGGCCATGAAAACACTCGAAAAATGAACACACAACACACATCCACTTTATTCCGTTTTAAGTACAGGTACCTTTTAATATTCTCTCGCCTTCTTCCCACTTCCTTACTGTCTATATCTTACCTCACTGGCACTGATAAGCCATAAATGGTCAGTTATGAAGATAGCATTTGTTGACAATCGCCGAAGAAAGATTAGCGAACAAAAGATTTGTTGCTATGCACCCAGAGTGGGAAGCAAACTGATTCAGCCAAAATTGAATAACTTGTTACGTCTCAAAATATAACCGAATATGGCAAAATTAAACACTACATTGCAACATCCGATCTTTTCATAACACTTTCATCACGATTAACTGTTTTTCAAAGGAAAAAGCTTCAGAATTCGGTAATATTACCAATTACTCTTTCTCACCTACCATCATGGGCAAATGTTTGAAATTCATTCATGAACAAAAATAATATCGCGATACCTACTGACTATCTCTGTGCTCTTATCAGCCAAGGTGGTCATCTATTCTTATAACTGTTTATATTTTCAAATCACTGCCAGTAATAGATTTAACGCCGCGCCGTCCACTTCGCACTATCATGTTACGTTGTGTATTTATTGTTCTAGCCGTATTGGCGAGCATTAGCCGGGCTGCGAATATTCTGTACATTGATGGAGTGGCATCACCGAGCCATTTTATTTGGTGAGACTTTTCAAGGTTAAATCAATTAATAAAGAATACAAATATTTTAAAATTGCAGGCACAAAGCTTTGATCCACGGACTAGCATCGAAAGGTCATAATGTGACGGTATTGAGTGTCGATATTGAAGACATCTCAAAACCAAATATAACATACATTAAAATAGAAGGAGTTTATGAATTTTTCTATGAAGACAGTGGAGAAAATTTTGTTGACTTTTTCGAAATGGGTCAAATGAGTCCTTTTTCCGTCCTATGGTTGTTTAATGAATACTCAACGCAAGGCTGTAAATTATCGTTAAAATCGAAAGGTCTACGGCAGTTGATGGACTATCCAGATGACTTCAGTGTCGATTTGATTATTAGTGATTACCTTAACGGGCCATGTTTGGCTTCCGTAGCTCAGCATAAATTCGGTCGGCCGCCATTCATAACGGCTACTGCATTTCATGGACTGACCACGACAACTACAATGTCTGGTGCCTATTCGTACTCTGGATCGGTTCCAAATCACGAGTTTAACACTCCTCAGAGTATGAACTATTGCCAGCGTTTCATGAACTTTCTCTACAACCATTGGGAAGAACTTTTGAAGACGTATGAATTTACTCCTGCCATAGATAAAATGGTTCGCGAGGTGGTTCCAGATATCCCATACGTCGGAGAACTTGAGAAGGATACTCGTCTCATTCTGCTAAACGCAAACCCAGTCATTCAGTACTCGGAAGCGTCGATGCCAAATGTAATCCCCGTTGGTGGAATGCAGATTGTCAAACCAAAAGAACTTCCCGACGACCTGATGAAGGTCGTTGAGAACGCTAAGAACGGTGCCATTTTGTTCTCTCTCGGAACCAACGTCCGTAGTGATACGCTCGGAAACGAACGAATAATTGAGATTCTAAATGCCATGGGCCAAGTTCCAGAATATCAGTTTCTGTGGAAATTCGAATCGGACACCATGCCAATGGAAGTGCCAAAGAATGTTTACATTAGAAAATGGATGCCTCAGAACGATTTGCTGGCACATCCAAATCTCAAACTTTTCATCACCCACAGTGGACTTCTGAGTACACAGGAAGCGATTTGGAATGGGGTACCAATTATTGGATTTCCGGTATTTGCCGACCAACATCAAAATATCAATTACTGCATCGAACAAGGTGTGGGTAAAAGGCTGTCCATTAAGAATGTGAAGAGCAGCGAGCTCGTCAACGCTATTCGAGAGCTAATGACGGACCGACGGTAATAACATTCCTATGTAAACTGCATGTACTCTTATTAATTATGGATAATGTTTTCCTAATTCACAGATATCACGAGAACATGTCCTTCTTATCGAAGCTCTTCCGGGATCAGAAAGAGTCACCTTTGGAACGTGCCATGTGGTGGGTGGAATGGGTACTTCGTAACCCCTCGACACATATTCTGCAATCTAACGCAGTTCAGTTGGACTGGCTCGTGAAATATTCATTCGATGTGATTGTGCCTCTCGTGTTGATGGGCGTGATTGTGTTATCAGTATTAGTTAAGATTGTACGATTTGTGCTGTACAGGAAAGGGAAGCAGACGAAAACTAAGAGTGAATAAAACCGGATAAAGATGTTATTCCATAATCGTTGGATTCTACAAGTGTAGCCCACCATAATTTGATGTCGTTGTGCATCTGTTTTATAAACCATAAGTAAACGGCAAAAAAACTCGTTAAATTGGGCAAAGATGACTTGAGGAAATACATACAAACCCCATCGATGGAAAATGACAATTCATTTTACAAATGTTCCTTTAACAATAGCAAAAGAAAACCGGTTAAATCCAGCAGGGGATGAAGTTTTTTTTATCTATACCGATAACAAAATATTTCAATTTATACCTATCGCTGACTTTGACCCGTCAAATTTAAATTCCGACATAAATGCTCGCATTCGCATTCAGGAACAGAAGTAAGATATTTTATGAATGATGTCAAAGTGGATCTAGTTAACCCATCGTCTGTGCCAAAAATGACACACATTTTAAGTTAAAACTATTAAAAGATCTCTCATTGGAAACGGTCATTTTAAAAATATGCCTATGAAATTTGATATTTTGAGATTCTTTCATCTCCTCATCTATCGTATAAAATTACCACTTTAATTCTGATATTAGACGTTAAGCATCTCCAACTATATTTCGATGTTACACATTTCACTAACACCTTATATGAACATCATTGGTGCAAACTGACGGATTTCATTTCGCATGAAAAGAGGGAAAACAGGAAATCGACAGAGTGAAGAAGCATGCATAAGGGTCTTACTGCGATGATCGATTGTCTTCGTCGATCTTCTCTTAAAATTATTACATCTAACAGAAGCAATTTTCTTAATTTTTTCGAATACAGTGCAGTAACAGGTTATATTGTTTATCAAAAGCAATAGCAAACGCACCGAGAAATGTTAATCGAAGCGAGTTATTAACATCCGCTTATGAACGCTCACTGTCGAAATGTAGAGGTGTTCCACAATCCTTTTGCTTTTTTCGTAGTGTACCGAAAGTAGACCTGTGCGCCGATCAAAATATTTTCGGCGGCGGCGTGATATATTTTTTTTTGTAGTGGCGGTGCGGCGTGGGACGGAGTTACTTTATTTTTAATGATTTAGAAAGAAAAAAACCAAAACAATCGCACATGGACAAAAAATGCTACCCACATTTGAGTTTAGATTACTCAAAATTGCTAAAACGTAGGTCACTCATAGCTTGAGTAAATTTACCAACACTTTCCAGGGGAAAACATCCCGAATATTGGGAAATTTTAAGAAGATTGTACACGTTAGAAGTGAACTAGTAGACAGACTAAAACCACAATCAGTTTTCCTTATATTCGAGAAGTTTTCCTAGGAACAGCGTCGGAAAATTTACTCATTCTATGAGTGACCTACATTTTCGTAAATTTGAGTAACCTGTGACTTTAGCACGACCAGACACTCCCGGGTAACTAACTCAGTAGCATGAGACCCCTGAATTGTGTCGCAGGGCCGGCATGTTACTGGGTATTCGGAGGGGGTACGCGGACAAAGTATGAAACACAGGATTATTCACATTTTCTACACGGCGAATGAGAACGACCCAAATTTGAGTTTAGTTCACTCATAATCGCCAAAAGTGCAGGAACTCAGCGATGAGTAAAATTTGTCTCATGGTTCCCTGTGGAAAACCTAAAAAATCTGCCGGAAAATGAGGAAATTGACGAAAATTTTATTCAGTCTCGGAGTAGTACCAATGGACTGAGTGAATCCAATCTTTACTTTTCTCAAATTCGGGAATTTTTACCTGGAAAATCCTGGAAAAACCTCATCGCTGAGTTCCTGCACGTTTGGCGATTATGAGTGAACTAAATTCAAATTTGGGTCGTTCTCATTCGCCGTGTATACCATTTATTTGCCCTTTTCTGTGGCGTGGGTGTGAATGTGGGTTTTCACATATTTGTGTGGCGTGTAAGCGAGAGTTTATGAACGGTACTGTACTCACTGTTGCAGCAGAATCTTCTTAGGCGTCGTGAAGCTGGCGTTGCCTCACACGGCTGCTCCTGTACTACCGTGTGGCCGTAATCTTGCGACGCGGGTTACTAACAGCGTTTCGTTGCAAAATTGGGAGAATGGCGGATCTGATGGCTTTCATCAGCCACATACGGCTCAGTAGGCGTTGCTGGTTCGTTTGACTGGCAGGCGTCTTCCGTCGTTGACGGCATCGGCTGACCGTGACATGGCCACCTTGGTCGAGCCGAGACGGGACTCTCCTTGGAAATTAAGGCCACCGGCCTGAGGGAATCGTCCCTGACGGAAGATCGGGGGGGTTCATTTGTGATTAGGCTCGAAGCCATCTAGACTTCCGAGCCGAGCCGTGTGAGACCGTTTTATTTTACTTTACGAGGTGTACAAAAGCACAAGAGCCCAAACCCCACAAGAGAGGGGGGGTTGTATTCTATATGCACTACACTTCACACTCAACTGGTCTGCACGGACGCCTGGTTAGTTCTGCCTAATCTTCCAATAGCTAAGATGGCTAGCTATTCATCATCCAATTTGCGCATCCATTGTTATTTTTAAAGCCAAGATTTTCTTCCCTTCAGTAACGTTACGATCTTGTTCTTTGCAGCGGCACAAGCCCTCTCGCTCTTGTGTGTGTCTACTGTTTTAAGTTTAACAAAACGTGAGTTTTCCCAACCAACAATAACTCATACAGAAGAAAATCCACGGATTGTAACCAACTGGTTACAAACGTGAACTCAAATATGAGTAACTCTTACTCAATTTTGAGTCGTTCTCATTGGCTGTGCATGCGGAATTTGTTTGGCAATGTATGTCAAGCGCTTATTAAAATGGCAGGGAGTGGAGTCGTATGGCAAAGTGTTACAACCCTTTTATTAAGTTTTAGTTTGAAGCGAACCCTTACCCGGGTTGCAACCTAAATAAGAGCTGTCAAACTGATAGTTTGAACACCAGGAGGAGGAGGAGGAGGAGGAGGAGGAGGAGGAGGAGGAGGAGGAGGAGGAGGAGGAGGAGGAGGAGGAGGAGGAGGAGGAGGAGGAGGAGGAGGAGGAGGAGGAGGAGGAGGAGGAGGAGGAGGAGGAGGAGGAGGAGGAGGAGGAGGAGGAGGAGGAGGAGGAGGAGGAGGAGGAGGAGGAGGAGGAGGAGGAGGAGGAGGAGGAGGAGGAGGAGGAGGAGGAGGAGGAGGAGGAGGAGGAGGAGGAGGAGGAGGAGGAGGAGGAGGAGGAGGAGGAGGAGGAGGAGTTTTGGACATAGACTCATTTCAAATGTTACTCTAGATATGATCCATATGCAAAATCTTAGACCCCCTCCCCCTTAGAGCGTGACATAATATATGCATCAAACCTAAATGACAAAATCGCTTATTGCAACTCTCATGTAGCAAGGTTGGCAGGTATTATGTGTAAAACACAAACTTCACAATATTTTCTTGTTGCTTACACAAATTTCACATAATTTCACAAAACATTTTTTCATCCAAAATGAATGGAAGGCACCCTGCTTTCCTGGCGTGATCATAGATTTTATGCCAACATTATGCCGGCAGCGCTGACTGAGATTGAACTCAGGCCCTTTGGAGTGAGAGGCAATCACACTACACACTACACGAACGTTGCTGCTTTTCTGGAAAGGTTGAATACACATACACTTGGCTTGTAACAACTGTTATCTGTTAACTGTCACAAATAATCTGTTTTGTTATTATTAGCAAGTAAAATGCGAAGTAATCATTGTGTATATATTCAATAGCGACGATCGTTAGAATCTTTACTAAATTAAATACGTGCTCAAGATTATTTACCTACCTTCAAAATAATGGTGCAACATTTCACAAGAACCCAACGCCGCCCAAAAACCCAACCATGAAGGATGTTTCTCAAATAAGATCTACTTTATAGTCTCCATATTTTCTGTAGTTCATCATTAATATAGGACTCGACTAAGCCAACAGTTTATTAAATTCTTTCCGTCAAGGGCAATTGTACACATTTAGTTCATGTAGAAAAATATACACATTTCTAAATTTTAAAACTCCAAATGTCCGTGAAAATGCGAAAATTGTCTAGCCATGATCTATTCATTTTGATGGTCTACTTTACTTCTTGACACCTCTAGTACGGTCTGTTACCTTTCAGCGTTTGTACCTTCCAGTATCGTTCTTAAAATTCGTTTCTTTGTTAGAGAAGTGTATAGATTCACACCCAATCCCGTTAAATGTACATCTAAAAGTTAATCTACTCCTTTATATTGTTATCCAAATGGTGGTAATCGTTCCAAAAAGGAAGGGCGAAAGAAGGTTGGTCCATTGACACCGTTCTATGGTCTACACGTCGTCCGTATGACGCTTGGGCTCTAACGCATACGGCTAGCGCTAAGGTGGGAATTTACTTCACCAGCCCTTTGGAGCGATCACCACATATATATATATAGTTTAACGTGTTATTTCTTCATCCATTTAAAAGTCGACTCTTGCTCCTTCTAAAAGCTCAGTGATTGTATTTACACAGTAAATCCCTTTTAATCACAACTCCAACCCAAGCAAAAATCTTGGGACGTTCGATTCTAGTCAAAATTTAGCTCTTGATTTGCGCTGCTGCATCCTGATGTGCAATATATTGATGTTTACTAATGAAATGGCTAATGTCTATTGTAACAGTGCTAGGTAGATTTAAAATCGTCGAACAAAAGTGTCTAAATTTGTGCTAGAATCCCCCAGTCCAACGATTCAACGTGACATCACCGATCCGGTCGCATCAGACACAGGTAGTATTGAGACCGGTCATTCTTGTCATCTCGACCCTATGGGTTGGAGTTTTGCAAAAAACCGATTTAAAGCTAGTGCGGAACTGTTTCGACATTAGGCCGTACAGCACGAAACCAATAGCGGCATTGATTAAGGCAAGCAGGTCCATCACTTCACCGAACATGGCATAGCAGCGTTGAAAGAAGCACTTCTCCAGGATGCCACTCAGCAGACCGAGAATTCCTTGGGGGAATTCAGTGAACAGAAACAGAAGCAGCACTGTCACCAGTAGGGTGGTGGTTCGGTCAGCTCGGCGATCCATTTTGGGGTGTCTGTGAAAGAGGAAAGTATGTTGTTATTAAATTACCGTAGATACGAATAACTAAAATTGCGATTGAACGGCGCTCAGTTAGAATTTGTTTAACTGCTAGATCCCTAGATTTGGTTTTAGTCTGCTCCATTTTATTATTTTTTGACAACATTATTTTTCATAAGACAAACCAATGAAACTTATATAGCGGCGCCGGTGGTGTAGTGGTAAGCGTGATTACCTCTTACCCCAACAGGCCTGGGTTCAGTCCCAGTCAGCGCCGCCGGGATGTTCTGAGGCATACAACATCTCTTATCACGCCTTCTTTCGGAAGGGAAGTAAAGCCGTTGGTCCCGGTTCATGAGTCAATAGGTAGGTTCCAGGTGTAGGAACTGCCTCCTTGGCGTCGGTAGCATTGGTGCCCAGCATGGAAAACATGATCGACGGAAAACAAAATGATGCGATGCGACTATGAAAGGCTGCTTCCCTTGAAGAGCGTTGTTGACTGCATGAAGAACTAACACTTGATCACTTTGGTCTAGAATTGTGCACTCTATGAACGGATTATCTGGTATCGTAATCGATATGGTGGCGGCACATTCCCTTTTTGCTCATGACTGTATGCAATATAGAAAAATAATCGAGGATCTCTAGGTTTACTTCCAGAAATGACCATTTTTCTAGTGAATCCGAATTTCCGAAGAGCCACGCCTCACGGGTTTTCTCATTCCGTCTGGCGAGCCACAATTCCAATCGGTTCCTTGTCTATTTGTTCGAACTTGTGGCTCTATCTTAAAATTTGGTAGCCCAATTACCGTGAACCATGTAAACATGAATTGACACGTATATTTATTGGGACTTTTCCGGTTTTTTTTTCCTTTCCCGGCTGGCCAACCTAAGGTCCAATCAACTTTCTACCTAATCCAAAATGAAAGTAAAATGGTGGCTGTATCATAAAGATTGATCATCGCATTACCGAGAACCAGCCATGTCAACATTCTTATACATATGCTGTTTGCAGTCTTGGTATTGGTACTAAAGGGTGATACGGTCAAAATTTGGTCAATATCAACTTGACGTATTTCTTTCAATTTTGCATTTAAAAAACCTGAACACCCCTCATTTTGAAGGTGTGTGTGTGTGTAGAATGTTGCTCCTATTTTGATTTTGGAATTCACTCTTCAGTTGTCAAAATGCCGTCCAAGCAAGAAGAGCAGCGTATCAAAATTTTGCTCGCGCATCGCGAAAATCCGAGCTACTCGCACGCAAAGTTGGCAAAATCGCTAAAAGTTGCCAAATCAATCGTTACAAATGTAATTAAAGTGTTTGGGGAACGTTTGTCGACAGCCAGAAAGTCTGGATCGGGGGGAAATCGAAAACCGGAAGCCGCTGAGACGACAAAGAGAGTTGCCGGTAGTTTCAAGCGAAACCCTAACCTCTCTCTCCGAGATGCCGCAAATAATCTGGGTGTATCGTCTACAACCGTGCATCGAGCCAAAAAACGAGCCGGACTATCGACTTACAAGAAGGTAGTGACTCCAAATCGCGATGATAAACAAAATACGACGGCCAAAGCGTGATCGACGATGCTGACGAAGTTTGACTGCGTGGTAATGGACGACGAAACCTACGTCAAAGCCGACTAGAAGCAGCTTCCGGGACAGGAGTTTTATACGGCAAAAGGAAGGGGAAAGGTAGCAGATGTTTTCAAGCACATGAAACTGTCAAAGTTCGCGAAGAAATATCTGGTTTGGCAAGCCATCTGTACCTGTGGCTTGAAAAGCAGCATTTTCATAGCTTCCGGGACTGTCAACCAAGAAATTTACGTGAAAGAGTGTTTGAATAAACGTCTGCTGCCTTTCCTGAAGAAACACGGTTGTTCCGTACTGTTTTGGCCGGATTTGGCATCTTGCCATTACGGTAAAAAGGCCATGGAGTGGTACGCCGCCAACAACGTGCAGGTGGTTCCCAAGGACAAGAACCCTCCCAACACGCCAGAGCTCCGCCCAATTGAGAAATACTGGGCTATTGTCAAGCGGAACCTAAAGAAGACCAAAAAAACTGCTAAGGGCGAGCAGCAGTTCAAGGCAAACTGGCTTTCTGCGGCGAAGAAGGTGGACAAGGTGGCTGTACAAAATCTGATGGCAGGGGTCAAGCGTAAGGCCCGGCAATTCGGATTTGGAAAAGCGGAAGCCTAACTGAATATTTTTCCTGAATTTTATACTAATTGAACTTGAAAAAGAAATTTAATTTGATTTTTTAAATAAACGATTTCACCGATTTACACGCGTTTTCCCTTGACCAAATTTTGACCGTATCACCCTTTATGTGGAAGTTTTGGTGGCTTGGGGTTCTGTCAGTTAACCAGTTTACCAAGATTTTCTCAATCCTCTGCCAAGAAGGAGGGTTGCTGAAGCCACCTCCATCGGTGGTGTCAGCACTGTAGCCTACAGTTGTTATGCTACACCGATAAAAAATATCACTTAGCTTCTATTAGGAATGCGCATAGTATTTTTCCAATAACAAAATTAATGATTTTTATCTGAATATCACATATCATAATAAATACTAAGTGAATAATCCATGTTCATGTGATTTAGTGGTGCAATTTCCAATCATGGAATCACATGAAAGTTATGTGAAATACACATGGATATTTTCCACTGGTTATGTGATTTATTTTATAAGTGTATGTTTATATGTGCATTGACGACACGTATGCGTTAAAAAATCTTGTGTGAATAATCATTAATAAAACTTGAATTTATCATGATTAGCTTGCCTTATTTAATTCCTACAACTAAGCGCTTGTTGAACATTTATCAAGATTATGTTGCTACACAACAAATCAAACATCTATGTGAACGGAGCATAATTTCTCAATGTTGGCATCAGCTGTCTTAGATTGGCAGATATTCGAGCCAAAGAACCAATAACTTTGGCTTCAAGTCAAATGTTCGTGGATGAAGTTTCTGTCACCGGAGTGCATTTTCCGGGCCGTTGTATTTTGGTCATATGTAACTCAAAACTAGTAAGAGACACTACTCTGAAATTTTCACTATAATAAAAAAAATCCATTCAAAAATTTCATTACCCTGACAATGGATTTTTTTTTCTCCAAATTTTCAATGCGATTTTCTTCTACTGTGAAAATATAAATGTGAAACATTTTTCAAGCTATATTTTTCATGAATTGGTGAGACAATTTCCTTATCATTTTACCACACAGCGTTCCTTCTACGATATTTAATTCATGAGTTATAAATTTTTCAAGTTGTGCGTGATGTTCGGTGAAACTTTAATGTTCGGTGAAAATTTACCTCCCCGAATTTTTTGAGTTTATTTTCTTCGTTCATATAATCATAAACTCTACTGTGGACAAAATTTCATAAAATTATGAGACCCTTCGGCCCAAACCTGCCCGATAGTAAATACAAATCATCTAATGTCATGTTCAGGCTAGGGAGATGAAATGCATTTTAAGCGGTTTTCGTGGCACAAGAACAATTGTGATACATTTTTGTATCTCAAAAAACGGCTTATAACACGTTTTTACTCTCTAGTCAATACATGGCATAACATAAAGAAAATGCATGAATTTAATAAATATAATGACACAAACATTCCAGTTATGTAATCCAACACATGCTAATTTGATGACTCATTCATCTGGAAAATGACAGATTGAGGAACTAAATTATGCATTTTTCATCGTTATCATTCTCAAGTGATAATTGCATTCTCTTTTCTAGATTTCCTGCTTGCATTTTGTATAAGCGATGAGTTAATGTAATTGCTAACAGAGTGCCACGATCAACAATAAAAAAGTCAACAAACGCTGATGTGCCCTCGAATGAAAAATTATTTCCTCAAATATGCAGCACCAACAGATCAGAAGCTTCTTCCTCTAACCAGGATGAAATCGTTTTCATTTTCTGTCGTTTTCCAAGATTAACTACGGTTCACTTCGTTTTCCCCTGACAAGCACGTTGCGATTGCTGACAATATGCAATAAAAATCCAATGAATAAATCAAACAAGAGTGGATGTGCGCTTTCACCGAGCCCTCCTCTCGTAGCCGAATGGGATTGTTGTTGCCCGGAGTGATGAGTTCGATATTCGAGACTTCCCAGGAATCTCCTCCACCGTCATAATGATTTCCAGAGTAGATTCAAATATCCTATCCCATAGGGATCTTCAGTCATAGCCTACAGGAATGAGGACATCTACCTACCTACTTCCGTTGCTGGGTGTTTGCATTGACGAGGTGGGGGCCGTCACGCTGGTCGCCACATTATTATGACTGGTGGCATGACTCGGGGTAGATATTCCGACATTGGCAGTGCCATTTTTGTTGCCGTAAGTTCCGCCCTGTTTCAGTTTCAACCTTCGTTTACTCGCTTTCCACAGCACGTTAATCAACACACAGCTGATTACCGTCAGAACTGCACAGGGTAGCAACTTTATGATGACTGAATGGATCCAAAAGTTGTAACTGTAAGGAAAATAGTAAATGGAAATTAGGTCGCAAAGTCGAAAGGTACACAGTAGAATTAAAAGTAGTCTGCAAAATCATTAACCGAAGATTTTGAATTCTAAACAACACGATAGGCAAAGTTAATAGAAGTCAGGCATACAGAATGAAAGATTAACCAATTCAATGTTCAAACCAATTAAACTCAGGAACAAGCAGAACATAACCAACCAGCTGTAAAAATTGACCATCACTCCAGCAATTGCGCATTTGATTTACATGAGAAATGACACCTCGCTGACATATGTAATACATGAATAATACAATTCACCGTATTCGACTCCTCATTGGGTCATGTACTACGCTTTAGTAACAAAATGATTCCAAGCACAGCTTCCAGTAGACACTTACCGGTACAACGAAGTATTCTCGTCGGCATCCAAGTGGTACATCATCACGTGGGCATCGTTCCTGAAGACGCGCGTCTGTCGTACCGTGAAGACGAAGTATGTAGGCATGCAGAGGATAGGCGCCAGGATGTAGCAGAACAGGATTGCATAACTATAATTAGATTGAGCGTAGATGGCCAATGAACCGTGTGGGTGCCTGAAAGTGGAGAGGAAATACAAGAGCGTGATAATAAAAAAAAATAGAACTACTAATGAAGGGAGAGACTGTAAAGATAAAAAATAATTCCGATCAGAAGAGTCGAGAAGAAACGGATCAAGCAGTCTGTCATCAAAGAGGGATAATTAACACGATTTCATTTTCCACAGAATAGTCATTTGGAACTTGCTTGCAAGGTTTTAGTGGAATAAATGAAGTGAACATTATAAGCCATAGAATCATTTACTGTAAAAGAATATAGCATCAGAATGTTCAATCCTGAAGGTAGCGATAATTGAACCAACCAACGATACAGATAATAAGTTTTCTTTCCATACAGCCTCGTTAATTGGCGAGGCATGTACGAACGAACTTTTTATTAAAAGCAAACCCAAAGAACAATTATTTCCACACTAAAGGCACAGGGGTCCTGAAATGCAACGCTTTGCATTAGGCAAAATATAAGCAAATTTTGCACCGTTTTCTCGTCCTTCGAAATTTGTTGTTCTTCAGGAAACTTTAAAATACAATGAACGAAACAGTTGGGCAATTGGGTAATTTGAATTAAAAATCATTTATAATCGGCTTATTTTACTAGCATTCGACCATAACGACAAATTTTAAAATCGAGCATTTTATTAAAATTTCTAAAACTTCATACAGACTCTGCCAATTATAACTGATGTAAGAAATCAGCACTCACCAACTACCTACTCGGAGATCGAACATACAGCACCCGGTCGACTCAGGCGACATGAGCAAGCTCCGGAACACCCAGGGTCGGCTAGCTACCGGGTAATCAGAGCCCAAGCAACATTGCAAGTTTTGTTGAGGACTGAGGTTGCAAACCCAAATTGTTACTTGGGAGGGTTTCGCGATACAAAAACGAAGAACTTTCACTTTTCTTTAAACGCATTTATTCGTTACTTTCTGTATTATGTGTTGTTATGTGTTCATAATTTCGTGTAATATGTGTCGTGTAGCCTAATCACGTTGTTCGCTGTACCGGTATATACCGCTGCTGCCGTTGATGGTGAATCGGGATGGCCGACACAGTGACTCCTGTCCTACTGTGCGGTCGGAACTCTCGCCAGATTGGCGAAGCGAGCGGATGACGGGCCAGCGGGCGTTGCTGGACGGTGGGATGGCAGGCGTCGTCCTTCGTTGGCACGATCGGCCGACCGTGGCAAGGCCACCTTGGTCAAGCCTAGAAGGGAAAACTCCTTTGCGATTATGGCCTACGTTTGGCCTGATAATAGTGTTTGGCCCTTGACAATTGGGCTCGGAAACTGTTTCCAATTTCACGAGCCGGACGTGTGCTGACGGATGACCTTTTTAAGGTCCAACATAAAAGAGGTCCTATCGAACGAATACGTAAGTAATTTACGGTTTTGGTGCAGGGTATTTAGTTACCTGAACGTTAAATTTACCTAGCGTACACTAGCTGCTGCTAGGAGGAGAGGAGGGGGGGGGGGGTGGTTCCTGGTTCACGTTCAAAAACACGCTAATTACATGTGTCTTAACATACGGACGCCTGATATTAAAGGAGGTCGGTTTTGGGCAATGGGCGTTCTTTTCCCCAATTATCTTTCATCCCTTCATCCTAGTTTTTTATGTTTGTTTGTAGTGCTATTGTGGACATAACGTAACGGCACAACATTTTCACAGCGGTACAGAACCATATCACTTCTGTGGTATACTGCTGTTTTTGCACAAGAAACGTGAAGGTTCTGAATATATAACATAAATAACAAAAACCTATGAATTTGTGATCAAACGGTTACAAAATTAAGTCCAATATTACATTAATAAATAAATAAATAATTGATAATTCACCAGCGAGGATTTATGAAATCTATCCATCTACAGAGTAACAAAAAATTGTCCATTCAGATGTACGGGAATTTTTTTTTGATAGACTGTAGATGTTTCAGATGCCTAAAATTTCGCTAAATTCAGTTTTATATTTTGACTTAAAATGAGCACATTTTGTTCATTGTACTTCAAGGGGTCTCTGATAGCCTAGTCAGTAAAGGATGTTGGGTCATTAGGCCCAAGCTCATTATACCCAAGGTCCTTTGGCCGAATGGTCACTACGGCAAATGGTCAGCAGGCCAAATTTTGTAAAATAATGTCTTAATACTTGCGAAGAACATGTTCTGGTCTGAAAAAGAGAATAAGCAGCTAATAATAGAAGTATAAATAATGTAACTTCATATTGGACTCAAAGCGCCGGCTCATGTCAGGAAGATGAGCCAAAGTCAATCAAAATTATCGATGGGCCCAATCGTGAGATCCACAGGTGAGCATTAGAGCTATTTTTGCCATATAACAGTTATTATCCATTATTTAACGTCAGTCTCTGTTCCGAAATCTAGTGCCAATCACCGACGGACATCGATTGCCATCCATTGACGGCAACCGAATGTGCAGGAAGGCAGCTTCCACACTTACGTAGAATATCGCACCCATTCAATTCAACACACATGGGCCGGGACCAACCGGCTTTACTTCCCTTCCGAGGGAAGACGTGACAAGAGATTTTTATGCCTCAGGAAAATCCCACCGGCCTCGGCTGGGATTAAACCCAGACCCATTGAGGTGAGAAAGCAGTCACGCTTACCACTACACCACCGGCGCTGGCTTATAACATTTCTTCAATACCGAAAAAAAAACCTAATATGAGAAAAGAACGAGCATCTTTTGAAAGAAGAAAAATTAATGTGATGCCATATTTTATTCATGCACTGAAAATAAAATTTCATTTATACAACAAAATTGCTTGTTTATTCCAAGGTTTATTCTACGAATTCATTCGTTGCTTTTTTTCCTTGGTTTGTTTTCCGTCGATCTTGTTTTCCGTGCTACCGACGAAAGAAAGGCAGCTCCCACACCTGGACCCTATCTATCGACCCATCAACTCATGAACCGGGGACCAACAGTTTTACCATAGAGGTAACTCTAAGACCAGAAGGTCCCGAACTCGGTCCCGAAGAAACGTGCTCAACTTTTTGGCTCAGCTCTGGTACTATCGTCCCAAGCTAATCGATGTACCCCTCGAAACATAGGAAAATCCACGAACCCCTCATCTGTCAAACTTTCATTGAGAATCAAAACAAACATAGTACTAAAATTTCGACTAGAATGGGATTCGTTAATCGATTTGCTCGGGACCAATAGGCTTGTGAAGTAGTGAGCCAATTTAAAATCGTTAGTTTTCACCGATTGATTTTACTTCCCTGCCAAAGGAAGACGTGACCAGAGATGTTGCGGCACCGACTGGGATTGAACCCAAGCCTGCTGGGGTGAGAGGCAATCATGCTTACCACTACACCGCCGGCGCCGCTAACATTCGTGGTTAGGGGCTGTTTATTAACTACGTATACAGATATGGGGGGCAATTATCCACGGACCATAAAATTTTTTAAATTTTTGTATGGATAATTGGGGAGGGAGCAAGAATCCAATAAAACTGTCTACGAAGTTAATCAACACGGAAACAAATCCGATTCCATTTTCATGAATAAAAAATCATGAAATGAAAAAAACTTACCGTAACAATGATTCATGATTTCGTCTTGGAAATTCATGATTTCATAATGCAGTGGAATCAAGACCGCTACAAGTGTTACACGTACTTGGCAAACCGTGTTCATAAACCACACTACATAGGTATCTATTATACGCCTTTTGTCTTCTATCTTAAACAAGTACTGATAGTCTAGAGGTCAAAGTAGGAGTTTAATGATCTCAAGGTTCTTGGTTCGAATCCAGTCCTGATGTTTTATTTAATTCTTTTTACGTTTTTTGGTTAAAAGTTAAACCCAAAAATTTAGCTCATGATTTTAACTCGGATGATTCATGATTTTTCAAATGTTTGCTGTGTTACGGAAAAGTTGCTCATGATATCATGAATATTATTCATGGTGTATTTTCATAACATGAAAACACGCTGTGTGCGTGAAATCATGAGTCATTTTTCTCATTTCGGAGACCAGCTATTTTCCAGTGAACTGCCCCTTATCTGCAAATAGACAGCCCTTTATCTGCAATAGATTCGTACATTTTATGAAGCTAGTTTCGTTAAAAAGGCCACTATCACAAATGAATTTATTTCGTATTGAGTACAGTGGCAAAACAGTCAGGTTCATTGCACAGTGGTCCAGAGTGTAGATTTAGGTGGAATGATAGGCCTTGAGCCTGAAATTGAAACTTTAGACTAAAAGTCTCTTCTACAAAGTTGTTCCTTATAGTTATGCCCTCATTTTTATGACAATGAATTCTAGGGTGGTTCCTATTATCATTAAAATCAAAAATCTAACTTATTTGTTTGAATAAATTAAGGTATACATTCTTGGGCAAAGTTATAGCTGAGCTAATTTCAAGCAACTTTGTAGAAGTCAACTTTTTTGTATCTCTTAAATTATCCGATTAAGAGTTGTTTTCTTGAATTGAGTTAGAGTGGCTCTAAAAAAAGCAGTTGTTTTGCTCTAGTTTTCTTATTTCGAATTTTTCAGCAAAAGTGTCTTCAAATAACTTTTAGATCTTAAGAAGGCGCAAATTTTTTATAAAACATTCGTCTTAATGAGTTTTAAAAGTCTCTAGAAGATGACTTTCATGAAAAATTTTAAATAAAAAAGTTATTGGCAAAAGATGGATTTCATAGGACCACTCTAATGACAAATTTAAATAAAATATACTAGTACATGTATTTCAATAGTTGGACATTTAGTGTCTTCGAAGAAGTTTTTGTTCTTAAAAATTTCTTTCTTTTGGTGCTTGCAAACGTCAGGGTGGTCCTCAGATTAGGGAATTTTTAAAACTACCTTTTTTGTTTTACAAAATAAATACATGTGTTGTTTGAAAAAGTTGTAGCTTAGTTTATTGTGAGAAACTTTGTCCAGAATTTTTTTTTCTATCTCTTAACGTTCTCATTTTAGAGTAATTTTTCGGAGTTGACCTAGGGTGATCCTGGAAAAAATAGTTTTTTAGCACTAACTTTTTTATTTGAAATTTCTCATAAAAGTCATCTTGTAGAGACTTT